CCCGCCGCCGTCGCCGCCGCCGCGAGCACTGCCTGCGCACTTCCGGCTTTGCGCCGCGAGCACTTCCGGGGCAGAGCACGCGAACGCGCGCGCACGTGGGGCCAGGGCGGAGGGAGGCGAACGCCCATCCTCGGGTGAGTTGGGGAAGGGGTATGGGAAGCGGTTGTGAAAGAGCGGGTTCGAGGGTGTCGAGGCCCGGTGGAGCTCGTCGGTTCCGTTTTGCCGAGGCCGGGTGGGGGTTACTCCATAGGTACTCCGACAGGGAGGGGGCGGCAAAGACCTTGCGCGCGCTTCAGACGCCCTCTTAGCCGGGCCGGGCCGAACGCACCTGTTCTGCTCGCGGGTTCCTAACCTTGCAGGGAGACGAGTGAGGGGTGAATGAGACCCGGCCCCGACCCTTGCCGAGTGCGTATGTTGGCTGCAAGCGTGGGGTGGGCGGGGTAGTTGACATATCACTACAAGTCCTGTTCCTCCTTGAGGAGCTCTCGATTCTACTGGCCCCATCGGCCCCACCAACACTATCATAGTTTGTCTGTGATTTTGCAAACTTAGCAGTAGAGTTAGGGAGAAGTGCTCGCTAAAGTGCAAATTCCTACTGTCTCTCCCTCACCTCCAAGAGATTGGAATCCTGGAGCTGTGGAGTAGGACCTGGAAACCTGCATTTTTAAAAACCTTTTTTCGAGGTAATTTCGATGCAGAAGTTCTGCAGACCTGACTTTGAGAGACTGATTTAGACTGTCAGCGTTTCTTGCCTCTTAAAAGTGGTCGCGATGTTTACCCTTTTCTTTACTCTCTAAGAAATGTCACACAAAACAGAAAGGAGAACCTTAGTTCTGCCTGGAATACAGCTGGTCAACTCCATGTGTCTTCATTCAAATATGCACTCCCGTTAGAGAATGAGGTTATGTTCAGTAACTTTTGCTTTAAGATCAAGTTTTAGATTCTCACCCCTCTTTCCCAGGCTACTTCCTTCAGGCAGTTTGTCAGGATTGTGAAAAGTCTAGGTAATGCTCTACGTGTTGATCTTTTAAATTTTTTGCAGAAGAATCTTGAGCTTCTGGAGATTGTTAAAGTCTTGTGTGGAACATGAAAATACCATTAGTCAGATACTTAGAAATGGAACTCAGTGAGAGATAGTTGGAGTCTTCCATCCAGAACGGTGATAATAAGGAACAATACACATGACATACTGCAGTTAACATTTAACAGTGACTCTTTTTTC